TACCAGTACATTCATTAGTGGTTTAACGGCCCATTGTTGATCTGGGATCCATACAGATGCCGCCCCCCCCCACGGTTCGGCACCCATGTGAACCGTGGATTAATTAGAGTGTGACATTAACCGTCAGTGTGAAATAAAGTTTTACTGACGATCGTTATCTGCCAATATTCAGTAAAATATGCGATCAGGACATCATTTATGCTTTTCTAATTGGAAAAGCGGTGGAAGCCCCGCTAACGGCTAACGAACGAAGGTTATGATGCGTTCAGGCTCTCTTAAGTGGTATTGGTATTTGGCGAAGGTGAATTATAACGTCATGTGTTCAAATGTAATCTCGTAAAATGTAGCGTTGGTGAGAAACTTGAATAAATAGTTGTTTGAAGGAGAGAAAATTAGCCGTTTACACTAGCTCTAACCAGCTCTAACACATTATTAAACTACTAAGATCTATTTTTATCAATACAAATACAATCTTTTATTTCCTTATCATTTGAATTGTGTGTTTTTATGAAGAAAAAAACCCTCTAAGTTACAATAACAAAGTAAAAGGACAGTTAGAATTATTGATGGTTTACAGACTTCAGAGCGGTTCAAATGATTTTTGAACCGGTGGCAAAGAAATAAATATCCTTCTGGATCCTTGTAGACCAGCTGCTATAATCAAACAATGAAGGGATCTGTATCTGCCAGTATGGATCATCAGCGATCGGCAATTACTATCGACGGCAACAAAACGTGATCAGGGATCTAAAAGTTATATTTGCTCCCTTTTTTCTTTTGTGCTGATCTAATCTGTGACTATTCTCAGCGTACCACACAGACCTCCATAAACACCTCAATAACTAAGCTATTTTATATAGCGGTTACACCACATGTAAAATCAGGGCACAGACTTTGCACTGGCAGATCTTGTCATGTTTATGAGAGAATACCAACACTGTTTCATAACAGACAACAATTTGCCTGGTCTTTCAAAGAGACAGGCTTGTGGTAATACCACGAAAGAAATGTCAAAGTACAGTAATTCAAATTCTTGTGGAGTGGAAGTTCTCAGAGTCCCATACAAGAGCGTCACACCTTTAGCATTGTTGCTAATCCAGCTCTTTTTGTTAGTGTCATCAACAAAGCTCATTCACAAAAAATCTTAAACTATGGTGCCCCTCCATCCAACCTCTTAAGTCTAGACGCTCGAAGCGAGTTCAATAAAAGCGCTATTTTTAAACTCTATTATGTCAAACCATATCTCTCAAATTGCTACCGGGTAATAACAATAGGAGAGTAGACGACGATGTAGTCGCTTGGCATGAATCATAACGACAAAAGCCTCTGGTCCGACAAGCAAAACCTGCCGGGGAATTCAAGATGGAAAGCGGAGAAACTTACAGGCATTCGTATGACAAAGGCTCTGTTCAGCAGGATCGAGTAGAGGCAACTCTCAGTCTCAGCAGGGCACTGGCACTGGAAGTGGCTACTTAATGGGGGGGGGGGGGGGGCGATCTATTTCCACGTAACCTTTTGCAGCTCAGAGGCAGGGGCTGGCCTCAGATCAGATAGGATGATATAAGCCAGGGGCACTGCTGTTTCTGGCTGACGAATATATGACAAGTGAATGGGACTCCTATATGGGATGAGTTGTGTTTTAATGACCATACACTGCAGCTTACGCTCACGTCAACATATAGTGAGATGATGTAAACATGTCAAACATCAGTGGCTAACACCGTCACCATGGTGGCTATCGCTTTAACAGCTCTGGATGTAACATGGGGATTGTAAATGATACCGCAAATTAATGATCACCAATGCTTTATGGCGATATTTTTTTTCCATGTGATTGATTACCTTTATTCATGGAGTGCCTAACTCTTTGAATTACTTTGTGTCCGGATAGTTTGTCAACAAAACAAACTTTTTAAACAAAGGAACTAATTGTGGATAAAAATAGTAATTGTGCAACATAGAAGTAGGTGGACTTTGTTGAGCTGAGGGTGTTTTGTGACAAGCACACACACACAAAACCAAGAAAAATGTATTCTTGGCCTTTGGATAAGTTTCTCAATTGATTTACAACACTATGATACTGTACAGTGATGTGCTGGTTAAAAATTACAGCTCACCTTTTGACTGTCATTTCTCAAGGTGAGATTCATACGTGTGGTCCACATTATATTATATATTATGAACATAACATAATACAATGTAATGTCAAGTTTAGGGGGAAATGAGTGAAGTGGGCAGTACCTTAAATGGAGTGAGTTGCCGTGCTTTACTGTACCTTGGTGCTGGAGCTGACACTCAGCCTCTCCGACCTCTCCGAGGTAGCGTCCCCGTTCTCACGCGGGCCGGGCGTGGACTCCCTCGAGTCCCTCGCGCCGTTGCTCTGCGCGTCCATGCGGTCAGAGTCGCTGTCCCCGCCGGGCAGGGGGATCCCCTCGGAGACGAACTCCCTTCGGCACTGCAGGTTGTGTTTCTCCAGCAGCTTGGCCGTTTCGACGTCGACGACGATAAGCTCCAGAGGCCCGGGGGTGGCCCGTATCCTTGCGACAACTTGCTGGTGGCTCTCGCCCTCCACGCTCTCCCCGTTCACGAACGCCAGGCGGTCGCCCGCGAAAAGCCCAGCTTCGGAGGCGGGAGTGTCCGACTCCACGAGCCGGATAAACTGCCCGGTCTTGCCCTTATCTCCGTGCAGGTGGAACCCGTAGCCGCTGGCTCCTTTCTCCAGCACGCACAGTTTGGGTCGGAGGTTTGACATGTTCTTGCTTTTCTGACCGACGGAAACTTTTCTCGGCGCTATTCGAACCACTTCAGAGCCGTAAAACTGGGAGTTTCACAACAACCATACAAAACAACTCTGACACCTGTTGCGTACGGACTTCGCTCAAGCTCCACTTCCGCTGAACTGAGTCACAGTAAATTTCTGCTTCGCTTTCACTCCGCTCGGTTCTCAGATCCTCCTCTATGAGCAACTATGTTGCAATCTTCCTTCTTCCACCTCCAATCGGACCCCGTCTCGTGCTCAGCGGAGGTGCCCGTGTCAAAGTCGCAGTAAGATTAACACGCGTCATCGTTTTTTTCAAAATAAAAGCTAATTTTAAGACTGCATCACAATTGTTACAATTTTGACGATTTCTGAATATTTTTCTGCGAGAATTTGGATACCTAAACTACAGTGCACGGTTAAACGTTACTGAGAGTGTGTTTTAAAAGCTGAACACTAAGATCATTTAGACAAAAAAGAAGGGTTAGAAATAGGCTTTCCACTGCTAAATGAATGAATACAACGATTGAAAATCATGTGAATGTATCCCTATCAGAGAAGAGGTTTTAAATTAAAATACATGATCAGAAAAAAAAATTGACTTGTTGCCTCATTATTTCTAAATCCTGTCTAAAACAATATTATGGTCTACTGATTAAACCTATTCTTATTTCCTACAAGACTGTACTCTACGTTATTTGTTATACTCAGGTATTTGCACAGGCCACAAAACAGTATTTTAGGAAGTTAATACAAGTCTCATTCACAACAGGAACAGGGGATAATATGAATTAGTTCCGCATAGGCATGCAGTCAGGACCTACTGTGTTGTCCTGAATGTGTTCCTTAGCCTCCTCCTGTTTGAGGAAACATGGGCTTGGCGATGGAATATGATTGGCAAGGTTTACTTTGTTATATCAAAGTAATCTTAACTTTTCTCCACTAACTTCCAGCAACCAACAACTGCAGCACAATTTGGTCAGTGATAGTCAACATAGGAGAGTAAATAGTATCTGATAAAATAAGGACACCACATGTTGTTGACGTCCTCCAAAACGTGAGGTAAATGCATCATAAAGGCACTTAGAAACAACCTCTCCCTTGCTGGAGTTTGTACAAGCTCGAGAACAAAAATGACGTTTAGTAGTACGTTTTATTTTTTTATTTATTCCAGTAAATTTTTCGGAATGCTGATCGCGACACATATGATTGCTTCATGAGTGAAAGATAAAACCAGGCAAAAATCTCTCTCTCTCTCTCACACACACACACACATCCCATTGTGGCTATTGACCACATTGTGCTCCGTTAAAAATAGTTTATTTCTTATGCAGCATACAACACATCAAAGACAACTTTTGGCAGCTTGGTCTGACAAGAAGCAACTGTTAAATGTGTACAAGGTCAAAAGGCAATAATCTGAATTTCTTTTTTTCATTATAAACTGTGTCAGGCCTGAGCATCCCTACAATAATTGACCAATAAGAAACATTTGCAGAAGAGCATTGCATACTGAAAACAGAAGTTCAGGAACCTGCTAGTGTCACAGTAAAAACCTGAACATGGAGCTGTTGTTTTGACATCATTAGTTTCTCAAAGCTGCACTAATGGATATTTGTATATTACCAATGGATCAATGTCTAATGTAAAAGTTATGACCCTCTGGGAATTATCTCTCTTTCAGCGTCTTTAAGTAATTGTTTCGGATGGCTGGTGGGAAATTCTCCTCAAACCACCATACTGTACCTGCCAAAAAGAAGTGTCAGACAGACTCGCTGCTGAACAAAGCGTAGCATTTAGCAGCTAAAGAGCCAGACATTCTCCTCAGGACTTGGTGGAGACCAAAACAGAGCTAAAAGGAAAGTAGACTCATTCTGTGGCCAGACACTCGACTCTCAATAAATGCTGGATGTGTAAATTGTCAACTAGTTTGCCAAAACAATTTATTGTGGCCCAGAACATTTTAACCCATTAATGCAGCTTTTAATGTGTTGATGACGGGGATTTATTTACTAGATCTATTTCAAAACAAAATGTAACCCTGAGTGTTGAGTTAAAATCAGAGGGCTATAATTAATGTTTGTCCTGATACAAATATAAAACAGAGTTAAATATGTTCTGGAGGCAATGCACATAGATTTGGTACATGCAATCCAGCAAACATGCAACTCAAGTTTAAAATCCATAATCAAGCCATAAAAGTATATATATATATATATATATATATATATATATATATATACTTTTTTTCCAAAAAACTGCTCACTCACAAATATAATATGTACATAGATGTTTCCTATATAAAGGACCAAATTGAAAATCCAACCACAGATCATTGTCAACTGGCTCATGAAATGTTTGGTCTTATGCAACAAGCTTCCTCTGGAGACACACATTTCACATGACTAAAACATTTGTGTTCCTCCACATGTTCATAAATAGAGTTGTGGTTACAGTCTTCACATTGGCCTTAACCCCCAGCTGTGTCCTTGAGCTTCTCTTGAGTCAGCGGGCCTTCACCAAGCGGCCGGCTGTCACTTCTCCACAACAGTTCGTCAGGAACACCAGTCTGACCAGCTTATGAACAGACGGGGCTTTTGTCTGTGCGCTTGGCTTTGAATTGCATCCACGACACAGTGTGTGGCCTTTTGTCTGGATCTCTTGGTTTGCATACATACGAGGTTGTTGCAATGTTGACTTTTTGCAAAAGCGGATCCAACCTAAGTCTGCTTTGAGACTGTGTGCTCGTCTTGCGGGTGCCGGTGGTGTGTGGGTGTATGCGGTTTTTAAGTTTCTTCCACTTTGGCAAACTGCTGTCACATCGTTGTACTTCCGTCAGCAGTGACTTAATGGTAAATTAAAAGGAGGAAAAAGTATTGTTGGTCTGAGATAGTCTGAGTCTGATAAGGCAAACAATAATAAAAACATTATTCAAAGAAGCATGAATGATATAATAATAATTGGTTAGATAAGAAGATCGATATCAAGCTCATGTCCGTGCATTTGGTAAGTCGGAACTTTTGCTCTAGTGCCGCCATGGGTTGAGATTTCTGTTTTTTAAGTGAAAAGTCTTCACAAGTGTCCGTGTTTTAGTCTTACAACTTTAACCGTTTCACAGTGTGTTTTTTAGTTCATGGCAGTAAGGTATAACATGTCGGTTGCCTAAACATGTCATATTCAGCGTTGGTTTGTACTTAGCTCCACCCTCTCGTGTCAACTTCTGGTGGCATGAAAAAAACAAGATGGCAACTGCCAAAATGTTAAAGCTCAGGGCTTCAAAATATACCAACTGGTCTATGTTTATGACCAATACGTCGCAACATGGCATTCCCATCAGCCTCAACGGTTTGTGTTTATTGCTAACTATAAATGATAAAAATATATATATTTTTTTTGTGTGTTTGTTATTGTTTAGAAAGGTTTACAAGTATTGTGATTTCAATCTATTACTTCCTCTGCATTAAGTGCTGGGTAAGTCGGTAGGTATGCTAGAAAAAAAGAACACGCGTTTAAGATCTTTGGAGCTGTGGGTGTATTTTTAAACTTCGGACAGAACCAGGCTAGCTGTTTCCTTTAGCATCTAAGCTAAGCTAGACTAACCACATCCTCTGTGCCTAACAGGCAACACAAGAATGGTTTGGATCTTTTCATCTAACTCTCACAAAGAAAGCAGATGGCATAAGGCTTCATTTTCTCAAACAACTTTTTGCATAACATTTCCACTACAAATATTTACACCACGACAGAGGATGTTGTATGTGTGCAGATAGTAAATCCCTCTGAGGCACATGTATTATTTGAGTACAAAACAAATTGAATTGAATTTAGTTGCTGTGTAAACGTCGGCGGCGCGGCTAATCAAAAACCGTGGCTTCTAGCTTGGTTTGTCCTTTTGGCTTTTAGTCTTGAATGAATGGCAGCATCATATTTTGGGAGCAGCAGTGAGTTACGGTAATAGGGCTTCCTCCCACTGAGTACCAGAGAGGTGGGAGGAGGGCTCAGGAGAGGAGATTTAGAAGTAGCTGCAGCAGCCCGACTTCTCCTTCTGTGCTTCAATGTATTCATGAATCTGGAACTTGGGTTCATTGGGATGTTGGACAGCCCGGTGCTTCAGCTCCCTGAAGAACACAACCAGACATCACACAGTTTAGAAAACAGCACAGATGGATTTTTTTTCTCCCTTAAATTAATCCACATTGGTGTTGTCACTATTATTTAGCAGTCAAAGTAAATTATGAGGTATGGGGCAATTTTGCTAACCAAGTGTAGAGATTTTTAATTATTATTAAAATGGGCTCATCTTGTTTACTCAATCTACTCCTATGTTAATTAAAATAATGATATTATATATTATATTTAAAAAATATATTATTCTTAATAATAGCACATTTTTTGCATAATATTCTTAATAAAATCAATAGAAATTGGTATATAATATATTTAATATATTTATTTATGGGTTGAATTGAAAATTTAAAGTCCTTTTAAGAAATAAATTATTGGATGGATCTTATATTCTGTCAATTTTAAGGGCTTTTATTATTTAATGGCCCTTTTACAATCCCAGTTAAATACTTCAAATACATCACTATATTGAATATTTTCACTTTATTTGAATACTGTTCAATTAAATGGCTTACTAAATGGGTTGAAACTGTAGTTAAACATGGGAATTTGCTTATTAATTATTGATACTGAACAAAGGTATTATTTCATCAATAGTAAAGTTTGAATTATTTACATTAATATGTTTCTTTGACACTGTAACCCCTTCAGAGTTATTCTCAATAGATTTTGAAAAAGTATTAAATAATTGAAGTAGTAATTGGTAACCACTTATTAGTTGAGAGGATTGATTAGGGCCAGCGCGTCGTAGTGCACATTCTGTGAGACGCTTTCATACTTGGAAACAGCGGTGAAGGCCAGCTCTACGTTGACCCCCGTCTTGGCACTTGTCTCCATGAAAGGAACCGAGTACTCCTGAGGGAGACGAGGAGGAGCAAACACCGGCGTTAACAGCAGAGTAAGCGACGGTCGTACAGCGGTGAAGGAGATACTCACTCTGGCCAGCCTCTCTCCTTCGTCTCTCCTGATGGCTCTGTCACTGCTCATGTCACCCTGACAGAGAGATGCAGTGCAGTGTGGTTAGAATAGGACATCACATTAAAAAAAATAAAAAAGCACTTACTTGTTTACATTTTTTTGAACAAACCATGCATGATTAAAAAAACAACTTTTCAGACAACAGTAATCCCTGTGGAGTTTTCTTGTCAATAGTATTGATTCATTATAATTCCTCATAATGCATTTGCAAAGACTTGTTTTGGCATATTTTTGAAAACCTTTCCTCACCGTGCACACTGTTAACTTACTTTACGGGTCGCCAATTTGCAAATAGTGGAACAGCGCGAAACTGAGGGATGCCGTATAACCCGACTTTCATTTGAAAGACTGACCTCCATCACAGCAAATTTCCGACTGCGTAAATGTATGTTTGATCACTGAAATTCTTTGTCCCCACTGATGTCAAGCCCCCAGGTCATAGCCAGGTCATAGCCAGGTCATAGCCAGCTGGCTGACGAAATGCGGGAGCATCTTATCAATTTGGTTTACCAAATGAAGGATAATATATGCTCCTCCAGCAGTTGGGAATCGATGAAGATGGTAATGTAGCTGATATGATTTTTTCTTTCTTTTTTTTCATGAAAGCGCAACACGGCGACGTGGATCATTTGCATTTCCCTCACCACACTTCCACAAGGCACCAAAGTGAAACGGCTTCAGAGTTGTTGTGGCAAACATGTTAGGGAACAGCTGTCTTCATACACATCCAGCAGACACAGGAAGCAACACTAGCTTTTATTTGAAGTTATGTTTCTGTCCACTTCACAAAAAGCCCAACATTTTTGGGGTACGTCCACACTAATACATTTTCGTTTTAAAACATCTTTTTTTTAAATGAAAACGATCTCCGTCCACACAGGCGTTTCAGCATCGTTTTAGAAATTATTTCCGTCTTGCTGTCTCTCTCCCCCTCCAACACACATCACAGTTACTTTAAAAACACTTACAAATCAAAGTTTTACTAGATTAAACACACGCCTGTCACTCGTTTTGTTCTCTGTTCTCACTCTCGTAGTTCTGCTGGTGGCTCAAGTCCCTGTCACACTAGAGAGTATTTCTGCTTTTGTTTGTTTACAGTTTATTCATGAACTTCACAATAGTTGTGCTGAACAAAATACATTGCATTGATAAGGAAAAAAGTCTTTCCCTCGCCCTCTTCAAAGCTTCAAAACGTAGGGCAGATAATGCCGCTGGACACGCCCCTTAGGCTACATCCACACTTCTACGTTTCACCAGCTAATTACGAACTGTGTCTGTCTGCTGTGGAGCGCTGTACAACCATGTATTGTATCTCTACTATCATTAGAAACCACAGTTTTTCAGTCAGGCCTCACTAAAAATCACATCATTTTCTATTTTCTCAAGACTTCCAACAATTCCCTCTCCTCACCTTGTTGCCCAGCAACATGATGACTACATCGCTCTGTGCATACTCATGGATCTCTGTTAACCATGCCTGAAAGAAGAGAGACAGACAGACACAAGTCAGTCAGAAAGTGTGTTTAAATTTGGAATGCAAGGTTAATTACAATATCACACACACACACACACACACGCTGTTTCCCATATCCTGCCAGACGGTCGACTTATCCCAGACTTACCCTTATGTTGTCGAAAGAGGTTCTGCTGGTGATGTCGTACAGGAGGAGCAAAGCTTTAGAGGGAAGATGAACGAACACATTATTTATATTGCTGCCCATCTCTACGATCTGTGGGTAAAAGAGCAGCGGAGAGTGCGACGTTGATGACGGTGTATTTTTGCCTCACCATGTGCATCTCTGTAATACGCATGTGTCACACTTCTGAACCTTTCCTGTCCCGCTGTGTCCCAAATCTGAAACAGAAAGGGAAACAAAGAGCTCGGCCTGGTGCCACTTTGCAAAGTCTCATTTTCAGCTGCGACACTGGCGCCCAAGAGGAAACCAGCCTGCGCTCTAAAAATAGGTTGCCATTGTGGGAGCACATCAAGTTTTCACTGGAACTCATTTACTCACTGACCTGTAGTCTGACCTTTACGTCGTCAACAGTCACCACTTTATTCTGGGGGAAGAAGAGAGAGATTTTAATTGATGTTAAAATGGGCACTTCATGGGCACACAGATTAACGCCTGATTAAACTGACGAATGACGTAAAAAGGAAAAAGTTACAGTATCTACCTTCTTCTACCTCTACACCAAAATACATTTAAAATATTCAACAGCAGCACATCTTTGAAGAATCAGTGTCCCTGTTAAACGTGATCTCATCCCTACTCGTCATATTTTATAGAGTATGTCTATACTGTACATTTGTAGTATCTGGACAGATAAGGGCACCGCGTGGTTAACGTTGTGAAACGCTTGCGGTTGACGCTGCAACCCGTGGCTAAAGATGTGAAATGGTGCCGTTACGGTTTAGGCAACAAAACTAATGTGTTAGGTTTTGACTTAAAATAACAAAAAGCCAAAATGACTTCAAAACAGCAGTCCACAAACCAATGGGTGACGTCACAGCGACTACATCCACTTCTTACATACAGTCTGTAGGCCTGGCTACTCTCTGGCCACACACAGACTTAAAGTAGCTTGTTTTCTTGCCTCCAATGAGTTACTGTGCTGGTGCACAACAAAGCAGTTTATTTGGCTGTTGACAGAGTTGACAGTCTGTCTCTTGTCTGGACTCTTATGTAGTTGAGGTGGAGTGCTTCTATTTCCCGAGGGAATCAAAGCTGTGAGTGCTGTAAATTCTCCAGGGTAACGGTACAACTCTCCCTTGAAAGACATGTCCCTGTGGTTGTTGTTTTTTTTTCTTATAATGTTGCAATATTGTGAGCAACATAACCAAAATTCTATTTACCTCCATTGTATAGGAGCGGAGGCCAAAATCTCACACAGATATCTCCAAAGCTGGGCCAATTAAACCCAAACTATCTGCATAACGTTTTTGTGATTTGGGTGAACTGACATTTAAACCTGTGACATCCTCCTTCATTTCAATGAGAGAATGTCCTGTATGTAAAAGGTTTAGGCGAACACATACCGTGAATCCAATGCCCACTGTAGCGGAGAAGGAGCCGGGGATGAACTTCCCCTGATCGAACTGCACCAACAGCGACGTCTTTCCCACTCCACTGTCACCGACCAGGATTGTCTACAGGAAAACAGTCAAAGAAACACATCGCTGTCAGAATCAGCCGAGAATATTTCTTTTCCGGCCGTACCCTCTCAACCATTTCGTTATTTTGGGTTATGAGTCAGCATTTGCGTCACGGTGGACATTTCTGCTCTCGAGCAGCACAAATAATTTTATCTTTTACAAGGGCTTGGCAGTGTACCGCTATCACAGTGTGACTCACAAGCCGGAGGAGATAACCTTCGAGACAATGAAATGAATGAAAGGCAGCATTCAGAAGCGTCCAAGTTAGTCACCAGGGCCAGCAGTCAATACTTCATCTTCTATAGGCCTGTCTTTCATGTGTTGCCCACTTAGAAAAGTCACGCTGAGGTACCCACCACCTCCACACACACACATTATGTGCCCTCCAACTGTGACAGATACAGTACATGAGACACAGCCAGGCTGCTCTCTGTCTTCCCAAAAAAGGGTTTGGACGTTTTGATGCTAAAAAATGCAGCATTAGTGTCTTCACTGTTGAGATAGGTCATTTTTGCTTGGAAGTGTATTCAATTTTTCCCTCTCTGACGTCTGGTATTAACAAGACGTCGAGTTTTGAGTTATAACTGGATGTCCACAAACTGGACAAACTGGAAATAGAAGTAACGTGTACGCCCATGAGGCGACGAGTGTTTGCTACGCAAGCAGTAGAAAGGAAGAAATTCAAAACTGAAGTGAACCTAGTCTGTGGTTGAACTGTCACTCAGTTTAGTCTTGAGGCTTATGAATGATAAAGGCTGAAAGGATTAGAGTTGAGAAGCTGGAGCGGCTTTTCTCAACAGTTACAGGTTTTACAGCCTCCCTTTGATGTCAGCGTTTAGAGGGATTTTGGAAACTCTCAGAAGTGTGTCACTGCTGAGTTTTGGATATAATATGGATGCTGGATCCACAATAATGCATCCTCTGAATTTTCATATGAAATGTATTCAGGCATCGTCGCTAACTTCAGTTAGTTATTCTCTCTGTTGAGAGAAAAAAGTCAGTGCAGCGATTGAAAGAAGGCGTATGTTTAAGACATCCTTTCGTCAGGGATGAAAAGAAGCACGATGGCTTGTTAGGGTAGCTTGTGTGAAAAACGTGGATGGAGAGCTTGATTAATACCTTGGACCTGCCGACAATCTCGCAAACAAATTTTGGGCGTTCTCAAAATTAAAAATTGAAAGGTAAAAGGAAATTTGACTGACAGGTAGTTAATGCATATCTTGCTGGTGATGTAACTCTTGATATAATATGGACTTTGCACTCTGATAACAATCTGACGTGACAGTCCTGTCAGCCTCGCCCACTTGTTACATGTTCAGTGCTTATTAGAACGCTAACACGCTAAAATAGGCGAAGTCTGTCAAGCTTTTCATTCTCAGACTCCACATATGCAGCTCACAATGATAACAGTGGTGGATTTATCATCAAAATTCAGAGAAATGTTTTCCTATGGAGGTAGAAAAACACAGATTTTTCATCTCTAGTCGGCAACTATCAATTTTGGTGACAAATAACAACTGCATGTAGCTAATTGAGCTAACTTTAGCTCCATGAGTTGGTTGAAAACAGATAACTTTTTAATGTTTCTAATTGACTCATTTCCGAAGCAGAATGTTGTAAAAGCTTGTATACTTGTTCGTATTTTCAAACTTCTATTTCTACTGTTCTAAGTGTAGGCTTACAGCGTTTTAGCCTTACCTTTGGCAAAACCAACGCTATCACAGGTAATGTTTGCTGGGTTGGTTGAGTGTAAACTAGGATGACCTACAGTGTGGATGAACCACAGGTTCATGCACATGCATGTGTATCCACTTATGAACACACCTAGGGTTTTCATCAGGATGGGGGACAATTATTTCGGCGCTTAGCACACCTACTGAGCGCACTTTTCAACACCATGGATGGCAGACTTTTGGCTCCAAAATCCAGTATGGGAGTTTATTCGAAAACAGTATAACAACACTTAGGGATTCACAACATCCCGATGGTTACGTCCAATTCTTATATACAGTCTATGCAAGTATCACTCTTACTACAGCCTCATGTGCCAAATCAATGCTTATAGAAAACCGTCACTTGTCAGAGGGTATTTAACACACCGGGGCCGTAAAAAGAGACTCATAATAATGAATCTCTTGAAAATGGATCAGAAAGATAATCACGGAGTGGGCAAACATATAGAGCATAACACAAACCAGCAGCAATACTATTATTTCATCGGCTCCTCCTGCGACTTAATGGCATCTGTTTCCTGTTGCCTGTGCCTACGGTGTAGAAATGTGATAGAATCTGAATTGTAAGTTGCTTTGGATAAATGACTGTAATGTACCAGATGTCACTGAAAGCATGTAACATAATGCCTGCGTGTGTGCATGTGAGGACAGAACCAGAGGAGAAAAACAAGGGTACTTGTAGTATTACACATGGCATCATGTGAAGACGATGAGTGTGTTTGTGGTGGAGGGTGGGATGCTGTTTCCATGGTAACAGAGGTTAGCTGGGAAGTGGGCCTTTCTCATAAACCCCCCCCACACACACACACACGGGAGGCAATTAGGTGATGGTGCTGCAGATGTTCCGGAATCAGACAAGGATGATGCGAACAGAAGCCTCATTAGGAACGTCCATGGAGGCGATCATGGTACAAAAAAAAGAGATTTGCAATCTGAGAAACAGTTAAAGGGAATGGAGAGGATTTGGAGTCATGAGGTTCTGCCGATCTCCTCTGCCTAAGCAATGGGGAAAAAGTCACTTATATCTTCCTGGAGAGTATTAAGTATTAACTCTCGGCACAACGCCGAGAGTGTAATACAGTTTTCATATCGCCTCTAATTTAGACCGTTTGATATGCTGCACAGCTGGAACTGGAATCTACAGACCAGCCACAGATTACTGTAGCTTCCAGTATTAAACGTCTTAATTTACGCTAGTGGCACCATGTGGCGACACACTTGTGAGCTCTTAGAGAGTGGGTGAGAGGGATACATTTTTTCACCATGGTATATGTCATTTTATACCATTGTAGCAATATATATTGTGTGTAAGAAGTGGACGTAGTCACCGTGACGTCACCCATTGGTTTGTGGACTACAGTTTTAAAGCCTTGAGTCAGTCATTTTTGGTCTTCGCCATCTTGGTTTTTTTGGAACCAGCAGTGATTGGGGGGGGGGGGCATTTATAGGCGACCAAAATGTTGTAATTAACTTTCATAAAATGAAAGCACGCCGTGAAAGAGTTAATCGTGGACAACTCCCAGACCTGTCAGTCACAGTAAGCCCGCCCTAAAGCATACTCCTCTTTATGGTCTATTTGACTCTAAATGGACCATAATCTACTAAATGAACATCATGCTGTATTGAGGAAGACTTGAAACTAGAGATTGAGACCATAAACTCATGTTTACAATGTTTACTGAGGTAATAAATCAAGAGAGAAGTAGAGTCATTTTCTCATAGACTTCTATACAATCTGACTTATTTTTGCAACCAGAGGAGTCGCCCCCTGATGGCCAGTGGAGAGAATGCACGTTTAAGACTCATTCACTTTTGGTGTCCAATCCGGAGGTTTCTGCCTGGCTACCAGTGAGACAGAGGACTAATGGGAGAGAGAAAGTGTTCCCCTTAAAGAACTGTCTCAGATTTTGTTTTTTAAAGAGCAGCTTGTATTGCTACAACATGCCCTTTGCTCAGCACCTGCTCCCCCTCACAAGCCTTTACACATGCACTCACACAGGCAAACACTGCTATAAATAAATAAAAATAAAAACGCTTGTTTCTCACAGCGACCAATATTTCAAGAGAAAGTAGGGGCCAACTAACCGAGCTTTAACCGACCCGGCTCCCTCATTCTGAACTGGAAGCCGTTCCTGCAATAATATCATAATATTTCATCGAAGCCCAAAGGGGGTTTCTCCTTTCTTTTTGTTCCGTCTACAGAGGCCAGCTTTCCTGAGCTGGAGGGGATTTGTTCATCACTAATGTCACTATACTCCAGAGCCAAAGGAGCGTGATCAGAGTGAATTTTGACTTAATTCACTCCGACATTGTTATGTTGTGGTAATCGATTTGCGTTTGGTTACTGAATTTGTTACGGCTAGTGTGTTAGAAAAAAACTGACTACGATTGAATATACATTCAGCAGAAAGAGCAACGTTAGCATTAATTTGTAGTCGTGGTTCTCCAACATTCACTCTCTTTTATCTCTGTTTTGGTCTCCACCAATTCCAGAGGGAAATATATATGGAAATATATTTAGCTGCCAAATGCTCCTCTATTTTCACCAGCTTTGCTAACTTGTCTGCCTGCTGATTCGTGCAGAGTTGTTTTTTTCATTGGTGAAACTGAACCAAAACAGTAAAATTGCAGGCCCGCAAATCAAAACAATAAGCTGAAAGATGCTAAACGCTCCCGTCTATATCTTTTCAACTGCCTATATCACACAGTCTTCATCAAGCTAATGGAATTGGTACAGGTGTTGTCACGTGACCAGTAAGTCACATGGGGCGGCGGTTTGGGATATGAGCAGCCTCCAAACAGCCACATAAGGGAGTCTAACAGGGGATTCTCCAGGTACCCGCTAAGTCAGCATTGTCCATCCTGGTCTCCAGTTGTGACCCTTTGACCTGGAGTGCCCTCTGGACCTATAGTCAGGTTACTGGCATTGAGACCCAAACACACTGTTCATATCAAACCAGTTTTAGCCTCTTTGCACTGGTTACCAATCACTTTGAGTCCATTTTAAAATCCTATACTCACTACTCTACTTAGACCATCTCATCCTGTCTTATACAAATCTTTATACGCACTCATTTGTTTGCATAACACAGCTGAAGTTGTGTTACTGCTAGATTTTATGTTTGTTTTATGTTTGTCTTTTATGCATTATTATTATTATTTTTTTAAGTATGATTGTATTTTTAATGAAGTCTCTCTGAACTGGAAATCACTTATTCCCCCTTGCTTGAAAAGTGCTACAGTAAAATGATGATTATGATTATCATTAATAATAATAAAGATGGTTGCCACTTTAGATAGCATTGCTGACACGTTCATCTAATTGGAAAACACAAGTGGATATTACCCTAACATGTTGACAGGGAGACACAACCACCCAGTCTACAGAGACTACAACTAAAGAACACAATTAAAACTTTAAAAAATATATATCTTTAGCCTGTATTGATGATGACAGGTCTCGAGGGGGGTGGAGGGATTCAATGTCTTGCTGGAGAGCATTTCGGTATACGAAGTGACCTCATTTGAGGCTACATTCCAATCCGAAGCAGGAAGCTGTTATGAGTGAATAGCACTGACAGTTCATCACAGCCGGAATTGTGTGATTTTTTATTTTTTTGGATCAGATTTGACGCGCAGCGAGCCTGGAAACCGACCAAGTGAAACGGCAGCAAAGTAAAGATCAGCACCACGGAGAGCGCAAAAAACCCGTCCAGCACCGGAGGCGAACCTACGGCTGTAGGACTTTTGGGGGGTTTAAGTGCATTTCATAAATGCCAGCAAATAAACGTATAAAATAATAAGAAAGAAGAAAAAAAGAGAGTGGGGAAAGCCCATCTTAAAGAAAGCGCAACAAAGTTAAAAATATCAGTTTGTGGCACATCTAAAAACCTTTTATTTATTTATTTTGAATTGTAAACATCGACATACCTTGTGCACGAATTCTTCATCGTATGTCGGAGCCGCCGGAGACTTCGCCTGGCTGTCGGTGGTCTCTCTGGATTCGTACCCGCTATCGGGATGGATCTCCGGGTACGCTGTGGTGTAGTGCGCCGAGATCGGCTCCATCGACTCCATCCGCTCCATCCTGTCGTCCTCCATGCGCGCTTTATTTTTATTTTTCACAACGGAGGAGCCTGCTGAGGAGAATGAGAGCTGACGAAACACGCGGCTCCGCCTCTCTCTGTCTCCCTGACTCTCTCTCTCTCTCTCTCTCTCTCTCTCTCTCTCTCTCTCTCTCTCTCTCTCTCCCTCTCTCTCTCTCTCTCTCTCTCTCTCTCTCTCTCTCTCTCTCTCTCTCTCTCTCTCTCTCTCTCCCTCTCTCTCTCTCTCTCTCTCTCTCTCTCTCTCTCTCTCTCTCTCTCTC